TGCAGACCGTTAGCCATTTTTGAGAAGAGTATGAGAAACCCTTCAGACAGCCTGTAATGCCCTTTCGGCAAGAAACGCGTCGCAAATTTCGCTGTCGACTCATTGATTGGCTGTTGAGACCAGGCTACGTGCACTGTGCCGACGGGTTGTGCTGTCAATCAACAACTTCCGAGCGAACATGAGTACGTCGAGCATCTTAATTTTTCGTTCACTGCAAAATCTAATTATCGAACGGTTCATTAGCGACAATCCAAATAAGTTTTGACACTGGCCAATCAGTGCTTGCGCCGATATGCGGCAATCGCCGATTGGCCAACGGCACGTCTAAACTGCCCGCCTCTTCAGCAGCGCCGTTCGGCTGCCGCCATGTGAAGCATTTACATTTTTAACTTCGTTTTCGTTACGGTAACAACGACCGCTGAAGGCTACAATGCAATAAAGTATAGGTGGCTTTCGGCTTGAGCGTCTAATACGTGCGTAATAGATTCAATCGACGACGGTAATAAATTAAATCTCACCGCTGTTCAGACGATGGCTGTTCCGTCGACCGCGGTTTCGAACGCTACCGTAGTTGGATTAGTCGGTCGAGCGACCATCGACCACCACCATCCTCAGCAACAGCAGCAGCAGCAGCAGCAGCAGAACGGTTTGGACGTGGGAGACGTAGCCGCAAAGTTGAACAAATGCGTCGATCCAGGACCCTACTCTCATGTCCCGTATTACGGCCTCGATCAGAGTGCTTTGTCGTCTGCGTTGGTACCGCGAGGCATTGGCGAAACGACTGGTAAGTGCGGTTGATTTGTACGTTTGACCGCCACGGTGTTATATGTGGCTGCGAATAACCACACTACAGCTCTTACTGCTCATCACGACTATGCGATACCTTTCAAAACGAGAGTCACAAACGGAGGGAGTAAACCCACCCTCCACTTACCACCTCAGCTTTCGCTGAACTGATTCACGGGCACTATTGTGAGTGAAAGTGTGTTAAACAAATTATTTAATCATAAACAAATCTAATAAAGAATAAACTGAGCAATCACATGTGCGCCTCGTAAATAGGATTATTCTAAATAAAATCATACAAGGCGCATCAACACGACGATGTCCTTGATTTGGAGCAGGTGCAGAAACGCGGTGCGAAGCGTTGTTGGCTTTCTCGGTGACATTGAGACATGTCATTATTCATGGCATACGAAGGTCATACGGTTATCCTTTGATTTCTCAAAGTGGTCTTCTCAAAGCTGCTGATGACCATAGTCAGGTATTCGTGATGTTGCACGTTCTGCAGATTCACTGGTTCTCATCGATACATGAGTAAGTCACGTTTTTTCCTGTCGCTCCAGTACGAGTGGCTGCTATAAATTCATGATGGGCTCTCGTTTCATGGCAGCTTCTGAAGCATTCTTCTTCTAATTCACATCCATGTGCTTTTTGTTTAGCAAATGAATATTTTTCTGGATATACGGTCAGATGCTGTACTGTTTGAGGGCATGCTGCGTTGTTTCAGCAGCTGAAATTCAGGCCTATCACATATAATTATCATAACAATGTTGGTGACGTAATATATATAGGTGATAAATCAGAAATACTATGGCATAACAGTAACGTGTTGCATGTCAAAAATGCCCAGGTTTCATAAGTATTTGCCAAATGTACATAGGCAAATTGCTTTGGTCCACAAATATTCAACTGTTTCAATCATATATCTAAAGCATGTATTATAAATATTCTTAAATTCACCTCCAACATATTTATTCTCGGTCAAAATTCGTCGTTACGACCTTCTGACAGGCCTGCTCAAAATCCTGTCTGACATCAGCGGGCTAGACTTTTAGAACTTGATTAAACGGGATGTAACTTGTGTTTTAAATGAGGCTCATGTGATCGGGTAAAAATTTTAGCTAATTCCAGACATCTTCTCTAAGCAGACGTTGCTGTCAATAAATAGAGGTTATTCGCAGCACAAAAAACTAGCGAACGCGAAAGCTGCAGAACCAAGACTTTTCAACTGGCTTTCGTACCGTTGCTAATTCATTTTATGCAGCACTATCGTTCTGCAGTTCAATTTTTGTAGGAGAAACTAAAACTGCATAATAGTCTATGGGGTAAATAATAAAACATGGTCCTCGAAACACCTGTGAAGCTGTTTGATACTATGTTAGCGACAGAGCAACATGCGAGCCATGCTTAATAATCACCCTATGCTCTGTTATTGGAGGTTTTACCCTCTTTGTTTGAAACGCCCTCCTTAACATTCAACATCTCATATTGTCACCATGCTTCTATCATTCTTCATTTACTCTCATGATAGTTCATAAATCAAACCCAAACGTCTCAGGAACTTTGAGTGCGTTACCTCCGCAATCCTGTGAGTAAACCAACGATAGCAAGTTTTAATGTGAACTTTATTATTTTCCATCAGACCAGGCTAACTTGCCGAAAGTAGGATGGGAGAAAACAGCCCTACTTCATGCCTGAATTTGGCTTCTCGTGGTAGCCATCACTTGATGATGTCATCTTGAACATCGACGAGCATCGTATCAGTGGTGCTGCATTCATCACTTTCCACCGCATGCACTTGGATGTAACGTAATAGATGAGTTTCTCTCAATCACTGCGATCGCACAGCGATGGAGTGAATGGCCGCAATTGGTAAACTTCTTTTTCCGCATGGCATGGCAATGGTCGATTATTTTTCTAGTTCTACTGTACTTCTCATTGCTACCGTAATGCACCGGGAAACACTACGTGCCTACATCGATAGTACATCGCCCTTGTTTCACCTCAGTGGACGTAGATGCAATAGTGGTTTACGACGTTGACAGAGTGATGTTACCTTCATACCTAATTTATGAAGAAAGTATCTGCTTCT